AATTAATTCTGTGGGTGCTAGATTGACTTAGTTCACTCTGCTGGCTGCTGAGGTTGAGAAGGAGGTCAGTGAGTGTAACAGAGGGGTGAGTGTGTAGCACGTGAGCTAGTTGACAGGTGAGTGCTAAGCTCTTTCTCAATTCATCTTTCCTCGCCTCCTTCTAAAAACCCATTGGAGAAGGTCAGAGGGGAGGGACCTTGTACCTTCTCCTCCAATACAGTTGCGATATAATACAGGTGAGTGGATAGGATGTGAGCAATCAAGGAAAGACAAAGTGAGGCAAAGCCCTAGTAGCCGTCGCGTGGTGCTGTCACCCACACTGAGACCTGAAGTAGTGTTAGCCTAACAAAGGTTATGGTTTTGTGGTTTTAGACATTAATCTTACTCCAAAACAAGACGATAGACTCTCAGATCCACCTCTACGCAGACGACACCATTTTGTATACATCTGGCCCTTCATTGGACACTGTGTTAACAAACCTCCAAACGAGCTTCAATGCCATACAACAATCCTTCAGTAGCCTCCAACTGCTCTTAAACACTAGTAAAACTAAATGCATGCTTTTCAATCGAACGCTGCTGGCACCCGCCCACCCGACTAGAATCACCACTCTCGACGGGTCTGACCTAGAGTATGTGGACAACTACAAATACCTAAGTGTCTGGTTAGACTGTAAACTCAACTTCCAGACTCACATAAAGAATCTCCAATCCAAAGTTAAATCTAGAATCGGCTTCCTATTTCGCAATAAAGCCTCCTTCACTCATGCTGCCAAACATGCCCTCGTAAAACTGACTATCCTACCGATCCTTGACTTCGGCGATGTAATTTACAAAATAGCCTCCAACACTCTACTCAGCAAATTGGATGTAGTCTATCACAGTGCCATCCGTTTTGTCTCCAAAGCCCCATACACTACCCACCACTGTGACCTGTACGCTCTTGTTGGCTGGTCCTCACTACATGTTCGTCGTCAAACCCACTGGCTCCAGGCCATCTATAAATCACTGCTAGGCAAATCCCCGCCTTATCTTAGCTCATTGGTCACCATAGCAGCACCCACCCGTAGTCTGCGCTCCAGCAGGTATATCTCACTGGTCATTCCCAAAGCCAACACCTCCTTTGGCCGCCATTCCTTCCAGTTCTCTGCTGCCAATGACTGGAACGAATTGCAAAAATCTCTGAAGCTGGAGACTCTTATCTCCCTCAATAACTTTAAGCATCAGTTGTCAGAGCACCTTACCGATCACTGCACCTGTACACAGCCCATCCGAAATTAGCCCACCCAACTACCTCATCCCTATATTGTTATTTATTTTGCTCTTTTGCACCCCAGTATCTCTATTTGCACATAATCTCTTGCACATCTAGCATTCCAGTGTTAATACTATTGTAATTATTCTGCACTATAGCCTATTTATTGCCTTACCTCCATAACTTGCTACATTTGCACACACTGTATATATTTTTTCTGTTGTATTTCTGACTTTATGTTTTTTTTTTTTACCCCATATGTAACTCTGTGTTGTTTTTATTGCACTACTTTGCTTTATCTTGGCCAGGTCGCAGTTGTAAATGAGAACCTGTTCTCAACTGGCTTACCTGGTTAAATAAAGGTGAAATAAAATAAAAAAGTTACGTGAATAGTGTCTAATACAAATAATAAGCAGAATAACAGGGTTGGGCCGGAACAGAAACCTGCACACCCAGTAGCTAGATCTCTGGGAGCAAGGTTGGCCATGCATTTTCTAGGTCTATGCATTAATACTTTTAACAGTATTTTTGTCATCCTACAACCAATTCTAAAAGTAAATCAAAGCATATACAACCCATTGGAGACATACCCTTTAGTCTCTCCAGGACTTGGGACCTTCATCCGCAGACATGGTGTAGCAGCTTTCCACAGGTCTCTGCATCTGAGGTTAGGAAACATATAAATTAGACCAGGACTTACTTAATTATACTCAAGTGATATAACATTGGATATTTTGTTGCAATTGTGTTTTTGTATTGTCATATTTCTCTTTGGGACTGGAGATCTGTTCATTAGCTAGGTAGCCAACATTGTTTTTAGCAGATCAAGATAACGTTTGTCATTTAAAGAAAACAAATATTGGATGGCTGTCTATCCTATTTATATGTAGCTAGCTAGCTGACGTTACATATAATAGATGGTTAACTTGATAAGCAACTTTCCCCGTGTGCTACACATCATCCTGGCAGCGCCACCTCCTGCTGCTAGCGCTACCATCCATGCAGACAGTGCATGCCATGCTTCTTTGGGAAGTCTATCAACTTTAACTTTCAAAAATAGATGATTCCCTGGATGTAAGGACCATCCCACCCGCAAATACTATTGTAATTTTGACCTTGAGAAAACTAGACTAAGTTAGCTAGACTAAGTTTACCATCGCACTAGAACCTCTTTGGGGTTCCCAGGTTCACTTCTGCTCGTTCTCAAAAAGCCGTTAAAAAGGTCTATACTTTCCAAAGTTTACCAGTACAGTATCAACTTTGCTTTATATAAATGGAATTGGTGTCATAGCAGTGTTTACCCTAGTCCTGTATACCTTGTAGCTTTACTCTTTTGCAGCCTGCCAAAGGCTTACCTAGGCCTTGTATTGATTACAGGACTATGTTGTGCTGTTTATTACTGAGTGGGTAAGCTGTTTATGGATAAGGCAGATTTCTCTTCTCTCAGCAAATCCACTTCCTTTTTTTGCTACAATGGCTTGTATTGTTAGAGTGCTCATGCAGTTTTTAGGTTATTCTCTAAGCAGTTGAGGTTTGCTGTTTTGCCCATGTGCACGGTTGGGCATCTTGGGTTGAGAACAGTGGACTTTGACTGTTTGACTAAACATTGCTGAGTGCACCTGTTTTTCTGTGAGAAAGAACCCCCTTATGTAATAAAACTGACTCTGGCAATGAAATAACTGTGTAGAAACACTGGTTACTAGAGAAAAGCATTATTTTCTTCATTCTTGCCTCACTCTTTACCAATTGACTCAATGAAGTTCTCTCCGCTGCCCTGTCTCTGTCCTCTCTCACTCAGATTCCATTCTACAATGGCTACGTTTGACAGTCGAATGAAACAGGTGCGTGATAGACCTATCTGTCATTACTATATTACAACAGTAGTCACTAATCCTGCTCCCAGAGAGTTTTTCTTCTTTACCCAGAGCTAATACTCTTGATTTAGTCTTTTGGTGCTGGTTTGGAACAAAAGCCTGCACAAAGCCTGTAGCTTTTGGTGAACATATTCAATATTAGGCCTCAATCTCATTTTGTGGATTTGGCCTATATATTTGTATTTTCTTGAATGACTGAAGAAGTTGGGTGATATTTCTGCTGAAAGGTTTCCTATCCTGTGGCCTCATTGTTCTTGTGTAAAAAATATATACAGTACCAGTCAAGTTTGGACACACCTACTCATTCAAGGGTTTTTCTTTATTTTTACTATTTTCTACATTGTAGAATAATAGTGAAGACATCAAAACTATGAAATAACACTTATGGACTCATGTAGTAACCAAAAAAGTGTTAAACAAATCAAAATATATGTTGAGGTTTTTCAAATAGCCACCCTTTGCCTTCATGACAGCTTTGCATTCTCTCAACCAGCTTCCTGAGGTAGTCACCTGGAATGCATGTCAATTAACAGGTGTGCCTTCTTAAAAGTTAATTTGTGGAATTTCTTTCCTTCTTAATGCGTTTGAGCAAATCAGCTGTGTTGTGACAAGGTAGGGGGGTATACAGAAGATAGCCCTCTTTGGTACAACACCAAGTCCATATTATGGTAAGAACAGCTCAAATAAGTAAAGAGAAATGACAGTCCATCATTACTTTAAGACATGAAGGTCAGTCAATCCGGAACATTTCAAGAACTTTGAAAGTTTCTTCAAGTGCAGTCGCAAAAACCATTAAGCGCTATGATGAAACTGGCTCTCATGAGGACCGCCACAGGAATGGAAGACCCAGAGTTACCTCTGCTGCAGAGGATAAGTTCATTAGAGTTACCAGCCTCAGAAATTGCAGCCCAAATAAATGCTTCAGAGTTCAAGTAACAGACACATCTCAACATCAACTGTTCAAAGGGGACTGTGTGAATCAGGCCTTCATGGTCAAGTTGCTGCAAAGAAACCACTACTAAAGGACACCAATAAGAAAAGACCTGCCTGGGCCATGAAACACAATCAATGGACATTAGAAATTTGGTCTGGAGTCCAAATTGGGGAGATTTGATTCAAACTGCCGTGTCTTTGTGAGATGAACGGATGATCTCCGCATGTGTGGTTCCCACCGTGAAGCATGAAGGAGGAGGTGTTATGGTGTGGGGGTGCTTTGCTGGTGACACTGTCTGTGATTTATTTAGAATTCAAGGCACACTTAACCAGCATGGCTACTAAAGCATTCTGCAGCGACATGCCATCCCATCTGGTTTGGGCTTAGTGGGACTATCATTTGTTTTTCAACAGGACAATGACCCAACACACCTCCAGGCTGTGTAAGGGCTATTTGACCAAGAAGGAGAGTGATGGAGTGCTGCATCAGATGACCTGGCCTCCACAATCCCCCGACCTCAACCCAATTGAGATGGTTTGGGATGAGTCGGATGGCAGAGTGAAGGAAAAGCAGCCAACAAGTGCTCAGCATATGTGGGAACTCCTTCAAGACTGTTGGAAAAGCATTCCAGGTGAAGCTGGTTGAGAGAAAGCTGTAATCAAGGCAATGGGTGGCTATTTGAAGAATCTCAAATATAAAATATATTTTGATTTGTTTAACACTTTTTTTTGGTTACTACATGAGTCCATAGGTGTTATTTCATAGTTTTGATGTCTTCACTATTATTCTACAATGTAGAAAATTGTAAAAATAAAGTAAAACCCTTGAATGAGTAGGTGTGTCCAAACTTTTGACTGGGACTGTGTATAGAAACCACACACATCCCTAAGGCACACTTCTCCTCTGAACAACACTTTTGTTTTAGGGGGTTTTGAAGGAGTTTGTCCGTGTCTGGGTCCAAGATCCACAGTTCCACAAAGATGACTTCTGGCACACGCACATCGACTACGAGATCTGTTTACATGTGAGTACTGTATTTGCATGGCACGCTCCGCTTGATTAGCGTCATCTTATCATCATTAAACAATAACATTTATCTTCTGCTTCTGATATAATGAGGATTCTGAGGAGACTTACTGGCAACCTCTACCTTCCTGTCTGTTCTTCCTGCTTCCTGTGTGTAGACCAATAGCATGTGTTTTAGGAAGAAGACGTCCTGTGTGCGTAGGCGGTACAGTGAGTTTGTTTGGCTCCGCCAGCGTCTGCAGGACAACGCTATGCTCATGTACGTATAACCCTGGGATACTTCACTGATGGCCCTCTTAACTGCATAATGTGTTCACTCCTGAAGCAATGATGCGGACACAGGGTATGCACTTGCCCATTTGTATACTTATCAGGGGTTGACTATTCACATTGTATGAAGTCCAAATGTATGACTAGAGTTATACATTTTTTTTAAAATAATGTTTTGTGTATCCAAATAAGGTGTTACAAATGTGTTGTCCCTTTCCAGAGAGTTGCCCAAACTACCTCCCTGGAACCCGTTCTTCAGTCTGAACAACCCCACTCAGGTCAACCAGCGGATGAAGGGGCTGCAGGAGTTTCTAGAGATGTGAGTCCTCATCTATTCCTCTCCTGTTCCCTTCTCACCCTCAGCCTTATGAATGACCACCCGTTTGTGCATGTTCAAAAGGCTTGACGGGATGAGCTAGAATCTAGATATAGCCCATTGTTGGGTCTGATGCAACCAATGTCAGTTTGCCAGATGTTTTCCTACCTCTAGTCGTCAGGTCAAGCAGTCCATATCAATCTGTGGTGTAGATCCCCTTGTGCGCATTAGGAAAAATTTGCTGGCGCAGGCCTCAATCCCAAATGAATGGCAATCTAATTCCATCTAATTAATTCCGTTTTTTTCCTCCTGTATTTTGACATTTGTTTCGGAAACCCTCTGCTTGCCCTGTATAAGAAGTTATACCCATGGTTTTATGGCACCAAACGCCATCTTGTGGCTACTTCATTAATTTCCTCCACTCCACACTTGTAATGCGTTGAAACAGAAAACATTGCTTACTGATGACCAGGAGTGAAAGTAAGCCGGACGTATGACGTCCCGGCAATATATGAGCCTATCACAATAATTAAAACAAGATGTCAAAAAAAACTGTATGCTTTTATAACATTACCCACTGGGCACAAACGTCAGTTCAACGTCTTCCACGTTGGTTCAACGAAATGTCATTGAAATGACGTGACGCCACGTTGATTCAACCTGTGGGTATTTATCATGTCAGCCGTAGAGCTGGAACGATAAACTGAAAATGATCGACACTGACCATACGGATCACTTATTGCTGATATCCTTCATTACGATAAGTAGCCTATACTAGAGAAATGTTAAGTTTGAAATGAAAAAGGTTTTCTAATATGGGTTAATGGGACAAATGGGACAATTGATGGCTACAACCATCAAAGTAGAAGTTAAAATTATAATAAAAATGTATGTTAAACTTATCGTTCTGTTGATCGTTATTGCATAAATTCAGGCAATTTATCGCATAATGGTATTTGTCCATATTGCCACGCTCTGGTCAGCCGCATGAAAAATGTACTTGAAAACGGGTGGTGTGCTCTAAAATGCGTTGTGGTAGAACACTGACGTTTTTCCAAGGCAGAGATGACTGATGTGCGCAGACCGCAGTAGGCTCATCAGTTCAGGCTAAAAGTGTAGGCTTAATGACAATCAGCAACTGTCATTACACTTTTTGGTGTTTTGAAGAGGTTTCTTTCCATTCATCAAATGGCGGGTGCACGTAGCACTGTTTGGCTGCTGGGATTCATTTGTGAGTGGACAAACCTGCGCGGGTAGCCTGTTTGACAATCAGATGAAAACATCATGACTGGTGTTTATGCCACATTTTAAAAGGTAATACATTTAAATTACAAATATTTACTACTAGGCCTACAGAGATCCTATTAAATTAATAGGGATTCTATTATGTATTTCTATACAAATGTTTTGTGCACACGCTCACACATAGGAGGTTCCATACCGGGAAGAAATGAAATCCACTTTCACCTGCTGAGACTACAATCTCCTTCTCTCTTCATTTCTCCTGTTGTAGTGCTTTGACATAGGGTACCAGAGCGCTCAGAATAAAAATTCATTCAACCTCCTACCACACACTGTTATAATGTCTGTAACATTGAGTACTGATTACTTCAAACTGAAAATAAGACTTCTATGGTGTTCTTGATAGTTGTATGTATCTACTGCTAGTTTTTTGGCTGGCGTTCTTAATGATTCATTTCATTCATTGGGTAAATCTTTATCTTCTCATCATCAGTGTCCTCCAGGACCCTCTGCTGCTGTCTGACAGTAGAGTGCACCTGTTCCTCCAATCCCAGCTGAGCATGACCAAGATGGAGGCGTGTGTCTCGGGCCAGACACGCTACACAGTGGGCCAGGCCATCCAAATGTGTAGTGACTGTCACCGTACACGCTTCCCCATAGAGAAGAGCAGCAAGGTGTACTGCGACTCGGACTGCGAAAGGTAAGCGTACGGATTGAGCGATTTTGGTTTTTGCAATGTCATCCGTTGATTGACTCACAACTAAAAATGCACAATAATGCACATAAAGTTGATCAACAGAACTGTCGATGGAGAAACGATGCAAGCCAAAATGGGCACATTACCTTTTACTGATTGAGTGCTCTCATACTCTCCTCTCTGCCTCTCCAGCACCACGTCATCAGGTCTGGGCCACAGCCACGACTCAGGGGTCCCCCACAGCCCCAGCCCCCTACCCTGTGACCGCAGCACTTGTGAAGACTGTGACGGAAACCTAACCATCAGGGATGGAGGATTTTTCAGCGGTCTGTCAGAGTCCTCGTGACCAGGAACACATAGAGCCCTGACATACACATACACGCACAAAAGGGCTGTTTCTTGGACAAATATTCAGCCAAGTCCTGCACTAAAAATCATGCTAAATGATTGAAAGTGCTTTTCAGTCCAGGAATAGGCATAATCTTTTTCCTGGAAGCCGCCCCAAAGACTGTTTGCTGCTGTTCGAGGTGCACCTCTCAAACCTCTGAAGATGAGTAGAAAGGCCTTTTTTTACGTGGTTCTCTGTTCGCATTCTCTCTGCGTCCCCTATCGGTCTTTTAACATGTCTGAGCTATATATTTTCTTAAAGGATATATGTTATTATATTGATGCACCCACTATTGTGGACTGACAAGTGTTGCTAGTGTGGTGTCGAGAAAACGTTGCTGAGATGCTGTGAGAACAAGAATTCCGCTGACACTGATATAAATAAACCTTTATAATCAAAGGACAAAGTGTTACAGCTTCAATTTACAGACATCTGCAGAATATCTGGAGAACAACAACCCCAATCTGTAATATGTTGTTCTGTCCTCCTTTGTTTTAACCAAGTATTTATATCCTATGCCCTATGTAACATAATATGGGTGTTTTCCCTACCGACCAATCCCAGGAGGCCACCTAACAGACTTCCTCGGCTTTAGGGTGCCCCTATAGAACTACTCCCCAGATGCTCCCTTTAAGCTGAGTCAACATCCTCTAAAACCATTTGAAACCATTAGCAAAGTCATACATTCCTCAGATACCACACTAGTGAACGAGTCTCTTCTCCAAAACGGAAAGTTGTCTTAATGCAATATCTTAGTCTTAATCTCTAACTTGTGCCTTACAGTTAAAAATAATAATGATTTATCAGTTAACCTGCAATGGTACTGGGAAATATTCTTAAATGATAAATTATACTTTATTTTTTATTTGCACTATTAAACTGTTCTAAGGAGTGTTGTATGTGTTGCACTTTTTAAAAAAAAGATTTATAAAATACTTTTAAATGGAGTATTCCAAGTATCAATAAATATTGTTTTTTGAAGAACTAACTTGATGGTTGATTGACTTTGTGGCTGGTGTCATCGTCTGTGCCCGTTGTGAAATTCTGGAATATTCAGCAAGTCTTTTTGGTTGAAATGTGCTTTGGTTTCTTGTCTCTTCTGCCAACAAATAATGTCTTATTTTCGTTATGTTAAAGGTTATCCATGGGCTTTCCTTCAATGTTAAGTTCCGTACATACACTACATGACCAAAAGTATGTGGACACCTGCTCGTCGAACATCTCATTCCAAAATCATGGGCATTAATATGGATTTGGTCCCCCCCTTTTGCTGCTTTAACAGCCTCCACTCTTCTGGGAAGGCTTTCTGCTAGATGTTGGAACATTGCTGCGGGAACTTGCTTACATTTAGCCACGAGCATTAGTGAGGTTGGGCACTGATGTTGGGCGATTAGGCCTGGCTTGCAGTCTGCGTTCCAATTTATCCCAAAAGTGTTCGATGGGGTTGAGGTCAGGGCTCTGTGCAGGCCAGTCAATTTCTTCCACACAGATCGACAAACCATTTCTGTATGGACCTCGTTTTGTGCACGGGAGCACAAACGGTTGCATGTCATTGTATGCTGTAGTGTTAAGAATTCCCTTCACTGGAACTAATGGGCCTAGTCCCAAACCATGAAAAACAGCCCCAGACCATTATTCCTCCTCCACCAAACATTACACTTGGCAGTATGCGTTGGGGCAGATGGTGTTCGACAGACGATTTTTACGCACTTCAGCACTTGCGATCCAGTTCTGTGAGCTTGTGTGGCCTACCACTCCTCGACCCAATCCTGTCTCGGAGCTCTACGGACAATTCCTTCAACCTCAAGGCTTGGTTTTTGCTCTGACATGCACGATCAACTGTGGGACCTTTTTATATAGACAGGTGTGTGCCTCAATTGAATTTACCACAGGTGGACTCCAAGTTATAGAAACATCTCAAGGATGATCAATGGAAACAGGATGCAGCTGAGGTCAATTTCGAGTCTCATAGCAAAGGGTCTGAATACTTATGTACGTGTTATGAGTAGTGATTAAGGCAGCCCCCCGCACCTCTCTGATTCAGAGGCGTTGGGTTAAATGCGGAAGACACATTTCAGTTGGATGCATTCAGTTGTACAACTGACTAGGTATCCCCCTACCCTTTCCCTTATAAATAATTTAGTTGGGTTTTGGATGCCACACTAGATGTACTGTGGTATCAGCCCAGTAGAGGGTGTTTTAACATCTAAAATGAGCTTCATAGGAGATAAAACCAGTTCAGTGTATTCATCCCCTTCACATCTTCACAATGTGTCTGATTTTGTAAATGGTGAAGTCAAAAGAATCCTGAAACTATGGTGTATAGATGTAGGTTTTCTGGGTCAGTGGTACCATGGTGTTGACTGGTTCTGGGGTACGTTGTGTTGTGGGTTTGAATCCCGGGTCCGCCGTGGTAGGGATGGATGGACAGTGTTCTATAGTACATCTCCTTGCCAACCTTTGTCCTCTAGCTCTATCTGGTTCTATCTCACACATGCTGCGTAGAGATCAAATCAAAATCTAATTGTATTTGTCACATGCGCTGAGTACGAGTATAGACTTTAATGTGAATGCTTGCTAATGAGCCGTTACCAACGATGCAGAGTTAAATAATAATACAATAAACACTAACAGGAGGAATAAAATACACAAGATAATAGTATGAACTTTCTGTACAGCAAAAGTCAAGATCATCATGAAAGAAGTCACTAAATAGCAAATTAATAATAAATAGCAAAGTTGAGTTGGAACTCGTAAGATGTAGTCCTTCTCCGTTGGCACCATCTTTCATGTCTTGAGCTCCGTGAGTATTTATCCCCTGACAGGAGAAGGGGGCAGCATATGGTGGTTGGATGTACCAGAGGGGTTGTCTTCTTTTCTTATGGAAGGTGTGTTTGTTTTCTCCCTGGGTGTGTGTGTGTGGTCTCCCTGGGTGTATGTCTGGCAGAGCGCAGGCTGTGCTGTGATTGGGGTGTGCTGACAGGATGTGTTTCATGGCTGCTGGCTAATGTCACTTTCCCTCTCACAAAGACAGGCCAGCAGACTGAACACACCTACCTGTGTGTGTGTGTGTGTGTTCTTTCTGCTGTACTAGAGCTGGGGGGGGCGTGTTTGAGTGAGTATCTATTTGGGGAGTGTAGGAATATCAGACAGCACATACATTGAAAGTGGGGGAAACAGGTGAAAGCTCATTAAATAAGACTGCATCTGTCGCCCCCCCCTTCTGTCCCATGTCCTGACAACGCTGCCCACTTTAACCAAAAATCTGGCCAGCCCCCCCAGCCCGTATCGGTCTCCTCTCTCTTGGTCCCTCAAGCCTATAGTCTATAATGGCGCTGTCTGAGGATAAGACTCACTACTCTGCAGCTCTACTGATATTCAGAGGACTCTGTCACACACATCACAAAGAGTGATATTCAAACTCAGTACAGTTTTTTGTTTGACCTTATCAATGTTGACACCCTCAGGGGCAGATGCACAAGCGATTGCACACACACAGACACACACACATGCGCACACAAACAGTTTTATTCCTCCAGGGCCTATAGTACATTTTCTGATCAAATCAAATGCTGCTGCAACGTCCTCAAGGGAAGGGTGTGTGTTTATTTGCATGTGAGAGTGTGTGTGTAAATTCCGATATTGAGTATTCATGGTAAGTGTATTTCAGCACAGTAATTTATAACTCAATTTTCAGTGTGCATCGAAAAGAAAATCTATCTGATACTTGTTCTTAATTATTTTTTTGATTTTTTCATTGCATGATGTGAAATAAGTTATTGCTAAGAGAATTTGTAATATTTTTTGTTGGATTGATGCTGTTAGTGTTACATTTCTACAGAATATTTTATTTATTTGTTCAATTATTCCTCAAAGCAATTAGGGTGTCTAGTGAATTGTGAACACGTTGCACTGCGTCGCCCGACGTGCCAGGCTGGCGTGATACGTGATTCTAGGCGAAAGATGACTTTTCACAGTTGATATTGCACATCTTATATTTTCACAGTTGATATTTCACGTTCGGATGGGGGAGTCCTGTACCCTGTGTCTGTGTTACATATGTATTTGTGTAATGGAGGGAGACAAAATAAAAACGTATTTTATGTTTTACATTTTGAACCATTCTAATTTCAGAGATGAAATGTCGAACTATGAATATCAAATATCCCCCAATATTCATTTTTCACGAGTTTAAGGATCAGACATTGAAATGGGTTTAGAATATTTATTGAGGATATGTAAGGAATGTGAGTGAGCATTCAGGAAGAGGAATAAGAGTGGACTGGATCCAGGGGGTGAACTCTTTAGAGTTAGGCTAGTAGACACCATCCTCCGGCTGTTGGAGTTAGGCTGCTGTGGTGATGGCAATCCCCCCCAAGAGATCCTTGGAAGAACCTAAGAGATACTAGATAGAAGGGGAGGAGGAGGGATGCAGCACTTGATAAGGCTAGTCATTCACAGTGATGTGCACAGCAGAACAAAGAGGAAGTGTATTTGTTTGGTCAGGTTTAGAGTGTGGAGGCTGATTCGCAATGAGTAGCAGTAGTGGTGGAAAAAGTACTCAATTGTCATACTTGACTAAAAGTAAGGATACCTTAATAGAAAATGACTCAAGTAAAAGTCACCCAGTAAAATTCTACTTGAGTAAAAGTATCTGGTTTTAAATGTACTTACATACAGTGGTGGAAAGTGTACTCAATTGTCATACTTGAGTAAAAGTAAATGTTGTACATCAAATTCCTTATATTAAGCAAACCAGATGGCACGATTTTCTAGTTCTCTTTTTTTACAGACAGACAGGGGCACACTCCAACACTCAGATATAATTTACAAATGCAGTATTTGTGTATAGTGAGTCTGCCAGATCAGAGGCAGTAGCGATGTCAACGCGTTATATTGATAGGTGCATGAATTGGACCATAATTCTGTCCTTCCTGAGAATTCAAAATGTAACAAGTACTTTTGGGTGTCAGGGAAAATGTATGGAGTAAAAAGTACATTCTTTTCATTAGGAATGTAGTGGAGTAAAGGTAAAAGTTTGTCAAAAATAATAAAGTAAAGTACAGATCCCCCAAAAAAGTATTTTTCCTTAAGTACTTTACACCACTGAGTAGCATCTGATGCTTGTTGAGGAGCTGCTTTCAAGGCAGCTAGTCTATCGACGCATCTAAGTAACAAAATAAAAAAATCCCCATAACAATCCATCAGTTTAAGCTAGAGATATCAGGTTTTTTGCATGGGCTGCGTCTCAATCCACCGCATCCACCTATGTCGGTGTGACGGAGAAGTCCGTCACTGGCTGCAGGCAGCATTTGGTAAGCTAACACAACCACACATAGTCATCTCTCCCTCCCAGCTCCGTGTTCAGCTACGTTAGCAATGTGGGTCGACACACAAGTTAACCTAGCGATCTCAGTTCATACATTACACACATTATTCTTACCTCGCTTCAGTAACAGTTTGGTGAGGTTTAAAGAATACGCAGACAAGCTTTCATGTTTAATTTAAGTGATGGTTATTGTACTTATCAAGGTTTTGGATGAGCGCTCTGTTTGTTTCTGTTCCTCTCTCTCCATCTCTGTAGTTTCCAGGTATGCTGGAATGAGGACCGGAGCTATGGCAATCGGGCTGGCTTTGTAGTGCATGTCCCGAATTGTGAGTCCTTGTGAATGGGTGTATTGGAAGACACCATGTCAGTAGTGGTGGGGTTATGTAAATGTATTATATTAATATATTAAGTGCTATAAGGAGTTATGACTAGATTAATTAATGAATGAGTTTGGAATGTTCTGATGGGAGGGGCTTCCCCCTACATAATGAGCCTCTTTATCAGTTCAAAGGGGGGATTTTTCCATTGATATGTTGATAGGGCAGCACTAGTTAGCTGGCCCCATAATTTATGTGTATACTTTTGGGGCAGTACAGGTTTTTTGGGAATCACTATGTATATAAACACCTTTGCACAGAAGTGCTTTTGCGGCTCCGCCATCGGTTATTTCGTTTAAGTTTAATATAGGCTTACCTTTCAGTTAAGGTTTTTTAGTTTAGCCTTCTGGCCTACTCTACGGGACAGTTGTCCTTCTGCCTCTGCGGTGGAAGGTTGCCGAGCTACAGCGATGTTTGTCAGACCATGAGACATCCCGAAAATCGGTCTTCTCCCGAACACGTCTGTAGCGTCCGACCCCCACAAGTACTCTACGACACCCATAAGTGTCACAGGACACGTCTGAAGGTAACCCATACAAACAAATGGAAGTATGGAGGTAGTTTTGTGCCAACAATAATAAGTACGTGTCCAAAATACAAAAATATTTCCTGACCTTTTCTTATATCTCCTAGATATAGGACACTTCAAAACCTTATTCCGGATGATTTATTTTTGGACTGTCTTTTTTGCCATTTATTAATGTATTATTCAATGCGTTTCTATGGCCTATAGTAGTAAAGGCCAAATTCAATATTTGATCAAATCATTTTTTTATACCTAAAGGGGTTCTAAAATTCTCAATCAAATAGCTAAATGGTACCTGGTATGACCATTTTAAAACAATTCCATATGTTAGCTTAAACCCTCCTATCTAACTACTATCAACACTCATCAGCAAGCTTTCCAACTGTCCATCCAAATCCACTGCCTTGTCTACTAGTATATTCCCAACAGTTATCTAGAACAGTAGCAGTGGGATGACCAACCTCACAGCTTTCCAGTCTAAGCCAATAAGCTAACAACAATTTTTATGGGATATGTCCAAAGGCATCTCTCCTGCCTCTGTTGATTTAAATGCACCAATACATATCCTTAAAGCTCTATACTGAATTCTGTCCAGCCTCTGAAGGAAAGTATTCGCCACTGTCCATAAACTATGCACCCATTATCAATTGCCGTTCTGATCAGAGCTCTATAGCTATCTATAAGTGATTGTCTTTCAGCACCAGAGACCGAGAGCATAAGATTCACCCCCTTCTTACACTTTGTTACAACATTAATTACATGATCTTTCCATGTCTATCTCTAATTGAACCATAAACCCCAATATTTGAACAGAAACCCTACCCATAGGCTGTCCATGCAAAACAACTGCTTATCATCAGCAACTTTCTTCTTTGAGAAGAACATACAGCAAGACTTCGCCACTGATCATTTAAATCACCAGTCAATCGACCATCTTTCAACAGCCAATATAGCTTGTTGAATTGATTTGATCATGAGAGACTGTTTGTTACAGGCAATATGCTTTGTGGACTTCACCGGACAGAGGTTGCTCTCCAGTTTTGTGATGAAACAAAGGTGTGGTTGAATTTTTTCTGCCACTGTGTCTAACAGGTTATAGAGCAAACAACACAATTATCACAACACATAGGTTGTAATATGGCTTTTCTTTTCTGGCTAGGCTTCTCCAGTGATTTGACCCACGCACTGCTACTGTTAGAAAGGCCTGTTGATGTTTGTGCTGCCTCTGTCCCTTCCGGGATCTTGAGTGCAGCGACCTTACATTTATCAGTGAGTGAAGTAGGTGAGAAATGGAAGGTGGTTCCTTGGTGGACTGACAATTTTACTGCGGCTATTCAAGAAAGAAATAGGGCCTACAGAGTATTACCGTAGGTCTTTGACTCCAGCCATTTATATATCAATTCCAGTCGTACTTTATCAAAAGCCTTTTCAAAGTCAGCTATGAATAGCAGGCCTGGTTTCCCAGATTTTTTATAGTGTTCTATTGTTTCCAGTACTTGTCTTATATTATCTCCAATGTATCATCCATTTAAAAAACCTGTCTGATTAGGATGAATAATATCCGACAATACCTTTTTAATTCTATGCACTATGCATTTTGATATAATTTTTGAATCCCAACACTGAAGTGTAAGGGGCCTCCAATTGCTTAAATGGACTGGATGTTTATATTTACCACCTGGGGCCTGTTTCAGTAATAGTGAAATCAGACCTTCTTGTTGAGTATCAGATAATCTACCATTTATATAGGAGTGGTTAAAACATGCTAATAACGGTCCTCTGAATACATCAAAAAAGGTTTGATACACCTCAACTGGTATGCCATCCAGCCCTGGAGTTTTCCCGGACTTAAAGGCTTTAATTGCATCAAGAAGTTTCCTCCTCTGTAATTTGGCCTTCACATTAGTCTTTCTGTACAGCTGTTAATTTTACATTATTAATAAAAAACAATCAATTTCGGTTAGTGGAGACGGAGGAGACTGAAACGAAAATATATGCTTAAAGTACTTTGCTTCCTCTTTCAAAAAAGAATTAGGTGAATCATGGTTGACTCTGTCATTTTAGCAAGTTATTTTTGGTAGCATTTCTACAGTATGTT